TTACCCGTAGTTTGTTGGTAAACAGACGACAGCATACTTCCGTTTCAGTCATATAGCGCCGAACGGACGGCAAGACTTCCCCGGATTTAAAAATAGAACTGAGATGACGTCATCGATATGGAAGACAACATTTTAAATCGGCCTGCACATGTACATGCGTACAAAATGTATATTTCATGTTTCATTTACAGAAGAAAAATCAAGTCCTTCCAATTTGTCAACACACAAGACATTACCTACCGAACTTTGTCATTGTTTAAAGTATTAAATAGTACTGCGCGTTACAATTGCGCGAATTAACCCTACATTAGCTCTCGAAGCAACTTCCACGTTTGCGCGACTAAACGCATTACGTTTGAGCGAAATTTACCTGTGAAGAAGTTACTTTGTAAAGACGGATTTATCAAATTTACATTACAAATCATAGAATTTCTGAAATGACAAATTTGTCGACTGCTAAGATGTAATTACGACACCATGCAGCTGCGCAGTTAGTCTTAATTTCCGCGACCAGAAATTCTTCCTTAACAGGCAACCTAGCGACCCTAAAAGAGTTGATGCAAGAGTTGTTACTCTCTACAGCAATTCTGACCGGACGTGGCTGCGTATTTATACATCCCGCACATCAGTTTATCGTTCAACATTTTTCGAAATAACAACTGGGGACAGATAGTTTCTGTCAAGAACATAGTTGCATACATTTCCTTTTTTTTATTCCAGACTTTTATGATTTATGTATTAAGAATGTTCTTTTACAGGGAATACGCACATTGTTATGTTAAAATAGTTTGGCTGATTTTATAAAAAAATCCCTTTAATGCTCTAGCAGCTCTGTCTATCCCCATAAATCGTTGAATATGAATAAAGGTAAAAATATATAGATGTTGAAATAGGGCTGGTATTTTTTGCAAAGGTAATAGGGTTTTATACTTAATGGGAGAATGGGAATGGGTAAAAATTTTAGGCGTTTTTCTTCATCATCGTGCCAGTGTCATAGATTATTGTATTGAACTTCTGAAACCGTTTAAGGACTTTAAAATTTTAGATTCGGGTAAATTACTTTTAGATGTTCTTAACCCACTCTTTTTATTGTGATAACAACTTGGGTAATAACTATGCAGAAAGTGTTGGGGACAGTTTAAGTCCTACTTTGTTTAATTAGACGTGTTAGGAAAGTCAATACAATTTTGACGCTGATGTTAAATACCAATACCATTACAGGCTATAGTGGGGACTATCTCAAAAAGCACTGGTAATCATTAAATATATTTACCTGTATGGGTTTGTTTGATAATGCTAAGATGATTTTTAAACAATAAGATGATTACATTTTATTCTGAAATTCACAGACGAAGATCCAGCAAAACAACATGATTATTATTTATATTATTATCATAAAATTGCATTGTTTCATAGTAGTGATCGATTAAGATTAAAATCGTTGTTCCCCCTTACTATTTTGTTGAACGACTACAAGGAAAATCTGCAAATTGATCAAAATAAATGAATAAAAAAAAACACTGCAATCAAATCACATCCGAATCCGATTTTTTACTCTACATCAATCTTTGTTCGAAATGTTCGTTTATTTGAAATTTATTTAAATATACTTTTCAATGTCGGGGTCTTTTATAGCTTTTATGCGGGATGGGTTTTGCTCCTTGTTGGAGGCCATACGGTGACCTAAAATAGCAAACATTTACGTCATCTGATCTCTGGTAGATAGTTGTATACTTTGGCAATCATACCACATCTCCTTTTTTATATCATTTTCTATAATAGAGAAATGTGTAGCTTAAAATTCTAATAAAAAAACTAGAAATTTGTGTAATTGACAATTAAAAAAAAAATTAAAAAATGAAACAAAGCGTATTCAATTTGATTATTTTTATTCTTTTTATTTCATCTAGTAAGGTTACTATGGCAATTAAATGTAATGCTGAAAAAGGAAATACCTGGGGAAAAAACCTGTTAAAATGCTGCATTAATTATTCTAAATCACATTTTAACTGACATTTTCTTTCTATCAACAGTTAATTTTTCGGACAAAAGAGGTTATCGAATTAAGTTTTAAAAGATTACCACATTTAGGCATTAATCAAGCATGTTAAATTTACGTTTTTGGTGAAGGGTTGGAAGTTTTTTTTCTTGGTATCACGGCTTCCTCCACCAACAAAACAGAACACCACGATTAAATTAAGATATGTTTTTTAAATGTGTTGTTAAACTTTCATATGAAATAGTTAATTTTTATTACTGTTGGGTCAGGAGGTTTTTGAAAATGGAATATTTCTTTTCACCTCTTACAAAGCCTGTTAAATTATACATCGGGCCATTTTTTTCCTCGATTTCTTTCATTTTTTTTTTGTTTAATATTCACTATACACTCCGCTTTCTAAATTGGCAGGTATAAAGTGATGGGTGGATGGGTCCATCCGTACGTTCTTTCGTCTATCTTTCCATTCATACCCAGATAGAAATAGACAATACAAATCACATACGGCTCGTAAAAAGTGGTTTTCTTGAACATTTAAACGATGCACAGCAAGACAACCTTCTTCCATGAATTGTCACCAACTTGGGATTGGATCTTCCTTCAAACTGTGTTAATTTATGTTATAAGGTTTATTCGAACCTTTTACAAATTGTTACGCCATATTGGAGATACCAAATAAGACAAAACCGCAAAGGGAAAAAAGAAAATGCAAAAAAAAACTAAATAGAAGAATTCCAGAATGTCAAGTTTATGTTGAACACGCCATTAAACGTTTAAAAACTTTTACGGTTGTCGGAACTTTGTGGAGACATTCAAGACACGAATGAAATAAAACTGTTGAATTGTGTGTTGGACTTGTGGAGAGGCAAACTGAGTTTTTTTTTTACTATTAAACATATTGTACTCATATTAAATTTATATTTCTGGACTTGTGGCCGTAAAATCCGTCATTTCCATTCTTGACCCTTACATATATTTTTTTAAAGTTTTGTTTAGCACTCATAAATCAAATACAAATTAATGTATGAATATCTACGCAATGCCAATGCACGTCTTAAAATTTGGAGTCGACGTTAACCGTTTGCTTCATAAATTTATCAAACACACCACAAGCTAAGTTATACTATGCAGGGATATATTCAATGCAATTGCATTTTGAGAAAGTCCACATTTAAATCTTGTATCGGTGTTGGTATTTAACATCAGCGCAGTATTTAAATCCCTTTCCTAACACGTCTATTATTATATTAATGATTTACATTAAATTTTTGATGAAACTTGTAACCCTCCAGTTCTTGATACTTCAAATATCCAAACTCTTAAATACGCAGATGATTAAGTGTTACTGTCTGAGACACACTAGGGGCTTCAAAACGCCTTAGACAAACTTAATAGATATTTCATTAAATGGCAGTTGAGTGTAAATAAAAACAAGACTTAAATTCTAGTGTTTCAGAATATTTATAAACAATCCCCACCCCTCTTGTTCTTGTCTGAAGTTAGGGACTCTAAATTTTTAGGGAATATTATTAACTATAGAGGAAATTTTACAAAAACTACTGAAGAGCTGTCTAAAAAAAGTATCAAAGTTTTGTTTTTATTGAGAAAATATATGTCTAATTTTATTTATGTTCCCTTTAGTTTGTCATGTAAATTATTTGATACTCTTATAAGACCTATTTTGACATACAACTCTGATATTTGGTTTATGGTTAATTTTCAGTCAATTTTTAGGGCATCTTTTAGAGCTGCTGAAAATAATATTTTTTGTGATACTCTTGCACTGGCAGAAAAATATCCTTTTGAGAAGGTTCATTCTAAGTTTTGTAAGGCAGTATTAGGACTGAAAAAGACAGCCTTTAACATAGGTGCTAGATCAGAATTAGGTAGATTTACTTTGGACTCTTATATAAAAACTCAAACGATCATGTATTTTTATAGAATAAACTCTAATGATATTAATCTTCTGGTTAAAGAATCGCTACAAACAAATATAAATTTACATTCCGCAGGAATTTGTTCATGGTACTCATTTGCAGATACAACTTTTAAAGATATGAACATAAACCCAGAAAATCACTCTAATATTAATGTACCTTTTAAACAATCAAAAAAGTGTTAAAATGTAATATTAAAACGTTTGTTTCAGAGGAATATAAAAAAAACTACTTTAAATAAACTCCTCATCCAAACTTTGTGTTTATGGGAAATTAAAAATTAATTGTCAGTCTGAGGAATATTTAAATTGCAATAATTTTATACATAGGCAGTAACTCTCAAAATTTAGAATTCGTGATCATTCCCTAGGCATTGAATTGGGTAGATACAGAAACATTCCAAGAGCACAAGGATTATGTAAAAAATGTGGAGTCCTAGATGACGAATTTCATTTCTTTTTGTATTGTGACATTAATATAGCATTGCGTTCAAAATTTTGGCTTATCTAAAAGACTATGTACCATTATTTCAACATCTTGATGCATTTAATAAACTACATCACATTCTAAACCCCACCCCACTTGTTTGTCATATTAGAGTCTTTGTTAAGCAGTATTTAGAACTGAGGGGTCAGACCCATGTCAGACAGGTTTATGACTGTGTTTTTTTTACATAAATTTGTAAATTGAACTCTTCCTTAAAATATGTTCCATTGTATTGTGTTGCATTGTATTGTATTTAATTTTATCATTGATTGTGTGTATTGCTTGACCCTTATGAGTGTAATCTTGCAATAAGGAGTAAATAATACATTCAAGAGAATAAACAGATGGGATTCTGAAAAGATGAACGATTTACTGGAAAAAAAGATTGAAATAGAAAAAATAGGATTTTTATATAATACACACTTAGAAATACTGATTTGTATGTAGTGAATAAAATGTGGTTAATTGATTTATAAATTTTGTTTAGTTCTAGACAGACAACTTGTATTAATTGTTCAAAAGAAATGCACTACAAATTAATTGTGTTTTCGGGCCATAAATATTATATTTGATAAACTACCATGAAGGTAAACTAACTTGAAGGTTTATTTCCGAGTAGTTTGCTAAATGGTACTATTTAACCTATAATAATTGTTATTCGGAATACTTTGCTTCTGACAATGTTGTTCGACATGGCAAACACTTATCATCTTTGCCATTTTCTTTATTTTCAAACGACTTATAAAATGTCTTAGTCAGTAAAAATAATACAGGACTTGAATGATATATTAAAACAGTTTAACTATTCGGGTATTAGTTTTTACTAAAATCGAGTTACTTTAACAGGAATAAAAAATATTTCTCCCATAAGACACTGGAAGCCTGTACGAAGTCATGAAGTCATGAAATTATGAAGAATTTATCAGCTTTCTGTAAACTGTCAGCTTGATCTTTTTGAAAAATTGATCAAGCCTAATCTTTAGTATGGGTGCGAATTATTGGGTTTGACTAATAATAATATTAGAAAAGATTCATTTAAAGTTCTGTAAAATACTTTTAAAACTGAAATCCTCAACACCTAATTGTATGATGAACGGTTTGTTTTGTTGTCATCTGCCAATATATTTGTCGACTTTCTTTTATCTAGAACCCGAGCCCGTCAAGTTCATTACAGCTCTGTAAGTAATAGAAATTTACGCATTAGCATATATTAATTTTCTATTTCAGCACTGGGACAATGAGTTAGCAGTGAAAGCACAAGAATATGCCAACAAATGTATCTGGGGACACAATTCGGCAAGATCTAACTCACCAACAACGTTCTCTTATGTCGGGGAGAACATTTACGTTCAAACAAGTAAGTAGGAAAAAAGGGATTACAAAGCTACAATAATATATAGTGCAGTGTTTTTATATATATACTTGTATCTGCAAAGTATCGAATACGAAGAGGATTCACTTAAGACTACTAGGACTACATGCAAAAAAAAGTATTAAAATTAGTTTTCTTTTAAAGAAACGCTTCATACTAAATATGTGCGCAAAGCCCTACAAAGCTACAAAAAGAAACATTCAATTCTGATATCAAATTTGTTTATGCTACAACCATGAAATAGCGAGTTAAATCAAGCCTTTCGTTTGTGTTTCTATGCATTGTTTTAACGTCCTCATGGAGTGCACGAACTGTTAAAGATGTTGCAAAATGAAAAAAAAAAAAAAAAATAAAGAACCGTAAGAAACGTCTTTGTTATGTAATTATACATAAGTAAACTTCCGATTGTATATTTTAAGATACAATGAACACGGATGTCATTGAAAATGGATTCACAATGTGGGACGACGAGAAAAATGGGTTTCATTACGATACAAATTCTTGTTCTGATGCACCATGTGGACATTACACACAAGTAAGTGCTCCCAATACATCATGTGGACATTCCACACACGTATGTCCTTCCAAAACCATTTCAACTTGACTAAAGTTATAGAGTGATAAATACACGTACTGCCCTTTATATGTCTTACTTTTTTGTTAAATTGTTGTATTGTACGGTGTTAGTCTTTCAATTTATTGTATTCAATCACAAACACATAGCAAAACACTGTTAACAATCAAATACTTTCACGAAAAAGGAATAACCGTTTTACAATTTCAGCTTTAAATTATAATCTATTTAAAAAAAGAGACCATTAAGCATCAAAATAAAAAAAAATCCTTAAATCTTAATTATAATTTCAATGAAGTAAAGATCAAACAACATTTGTTTATGCATGTAGCTTATTAGACGGTATAGGTTTTTATCATTGTTGAAGACCATACGGTAACTTATAATTACTTTTATCTCCGTCATTTGAACTCTGGGGATGGTTGTCTCATTAGCAAACATACTACAACTTCTATTTTTTTTATAATGGTTGCTTTTATGTACACATTTTGTTTTGCCTTGAGTACAGTGGATATTATACTGCAGGTGTTTGAAAGAAGCTTTTTTATGCACTCAAAGTTTGATCAAAATCATCAAGGTCGGCTAACTGCATCTACATTAGTTTATAATTTTGACATTTAAGTATTGTTTTGATGTTTATAGATAATCTGGGCAGAGAGTACTGCATTAGGATGCGGAGTGTCTCATTGTCCTTCCATGGAAAACCTACTGGACTACAACTTCGTTGATTATTGGGAATATTTAGTGTGTAATTATGGACCAGGGTAAGTACAGTGCATACATATAGTTATTTTATGCGTTGTTTCCATGGCGAGTATATATTGAGCTTTAATATATTAAGTATCATGCTGTATAAATGGTGATGCAGTAGTTAACTAGTTAGAGCCTGTGTCGCTCACCTAGGTCTTTGTGCAACGGAATATCTCCAAATTTGAAGACTAGAGTATATCTTCTAAAATATCTCTTTTTTGTTGATCTTGTTTTCTGTTTTCGTTTTTCTCTATATTCTTTAATTTTGCCTAAAGCACAAAAAGGGTAAATTCATGATTGTGTGTAAAATTTAACGTATGTGTAGATCTTGTCTTGCTGATCATATTTGCTAATTAAAGTTTTATCTATGATAGTTTTTAGTTTTCAAAATAATAGCAAAAAACACAAAAAAATTAGTAAAATCGTTATTAAAGAGCAAAAAACTCCGATCAGAAATCGACTGACAATTTCGGTCATTTGACTTATTTGTAGACCTTGTCTTTATGCTCGTGTTTACTTCTTTTTAGAATATTTATCAATCTATTATAGTTTTTAAGATATAAGGCAAAAAAACAAAATTGGTAAAAAATCCGTCATTACAGAGCATTTAATGAGGAGTCGACTTACAATTTCGACCATTTAGGTAATTTGTAGAACTTGTCTTGCTGATGTTTTTTGCTTTTTAAAGTTTTCATCTATCAAATATTGATAACAAAATCTTCATTAAAAGGAAATAACTCCATTCAGGGGTCGAATGACGGTTTCAGTCATGTTTGACTGTTTTGTAGACTTTGTCTTGCTGATAATTTTTGCCATTTCTATAATAGTTTTGAAGATAATAAGCAAAGCTTGAAAAAAAAAAAAAAAAATCCGTCATTTAAGGCCAATCACTACTATAAAAGGAGAGATGAAAGATACCAAAGGAACATTCAAACTCATAAGTCGAAAATAAACTGACAATGACATATACGACGACTGATGCTTTGAGCTAGGTGAGCTAAGAATGAGTAGGACCCAGAATGTATTTCACACCAGTGTCATTTTTAAAAAGTCTTTAAATCTTTACTTAAAGTCACAGCCAAATATGTGTCCTTTAAGGTTGTAACAATATTATAGGTTTATTAGATACCTATAAAGACCAAAACAGACCTTTTACAAAATGTTTGCAAATTTTCAGTATATATCCCAAAATGTACTAGGACATCGTTTACCAACACCAACATTATGTTGGGAGTAAAACTATATGTTTTCTTTCTAAACCGACATGCTTAGCAGCCTTCTAACCGGTTAATTCAGGAATTAAGATGGAGGTTTATCTAGCTAAGAAACCAGGTTTAACCTACCATTTTCTTCAGAAAATACCTGTACCAAGTGAAAGATGTGACAGTTGTATTCCATTCGTTCTGTTGGTTGAAAGTCTAACGTTTGATTTTGTCAGCTTTTATGGACTTCCCCCTTATGAACTAACCTTGGAATTCAGTATTTTTGTTATACTTTTTAAACCCAACCTAGACATAATTTGAATGCATGCCGACAAATATCTGCTGTTGTAAAAACGACATATTTGTTTTAGTAATCATTTAACATTATTTTGCCCTTAATATCTCGTATTTTTTTATACTAATTATATTGTAGAGGTAATATAAATGGAAAATTGCCGTACGTGGAGGATACGTTAGGAAGTAGCGGTGGAGAAGCTGCGACAAGTAATGGATGCCGGAAATGAAAATTTTTAACAAGCAAGTAGCTCATCACGGTGTATTAAGCAGGCTTTGCCTTTTAAATTTTTTTATATGAAATATGATAAAAGTGTTATATGTTGGTATACTTTGTCCGATAAAGAGGGAAAAGACGGGATGTGAAATGGACAAGACAAAACACTAATTAAACCAATATATCAAAGGAACAGAGTAGTCATTTCTTCTCTTTATCTTAAAATTGCACGAAAGTCTTCAACGACGAACTATGAGTGTCGTCATTCATGTCACATAAAGCCATTGGTTTTACACAAACAACAAATAAAAATATTCCAAACATACGAAAGAAGCTGTATACTATGCATTTTTTACATAGTTAATTTTCAAATGTAGAATGTAATTATCAAGTCTATCAAGTATATGAAGTAAAACGTTGTCTAGTTACTCTTTTCGTCATACGAAATGCTCCGAAATAATATATTTGAAAATCACAAAGTTTGTAGCCGTGCAAATGCATGAAATAAAATGCATAAATATTGAAACGCATTAAAAGAAAAAGTATGCATCCAAAGAAACTAGTTAATCAATTCACTACACCTAATAGTCATTGTTCAAATTTATTAAATCATTTCGAAATCTGCAATATCAAAGAGGGACGAAAGATACCAGAGGGACAGTCAAACTGATAGATCGAAAACAAACTGACAACGCCATGGCCAAAAATAAAAAGACAAACAGACAAATAATAGAACAGATGACACAACATAGAAAACTAAAGACTAAGCAACACGAACCCCATCAAAGACTGGGGGTGATCTCAGGTGCTCCGGAAGGGGGTAAGCAGATCCTGCTCCACATGTGGCACCCGTCGTGTTGCTTATGTTATTACAAATCCGGTAAATAGTCTAATTCGGTAGGTCACATTCGTGAAAAGGGAAGGGTATTGTAGTTACGACATTACATAGATAAAAAAAAATTACTCAGAACCCTATGAAAACCAAAATAAAGAGCCTTACTTGAATTCAGTGAGTACACGAAGAATTATTGTTGGTTTATTAACGTTCAGTTGCAAACATTTCATGCATGTTCAGAAAGAGAACAAATTAACAATAAATACAATAGGTAGGTCCTGTAATAGAGGCCGTCAGGGAAATAAAGATTGCTGCTGGAAAATGAGAGTATATTGGATGTGGACAGAAATGTTGCCTTGCAACAGGCCACCTACGGACCCTTCAAGTTGTTACAAGTGTTCTTAACGTGCACAGAGCGTGGCACTCTCTCGACATGAGGCATCGGATTTAACGTCCCCATTGTGACCGGACGTGGCTGCGTACTTGTACATCCCGCACAGCCAAACGGACGCCCATCTTAGGCAAGGGTTTTACTGTCGGTCGAAAGACCTGTAGTGTCTGACCATATTTCTATTCCCCAGTCACCTTTGGGGGAGTACACGAAAAAGGTGCTTCCTTAAATTTAAAATGAATTATTTCTCACCTTAGTGACTGCAAACTTCCTTTACAAGGTGCTTCTATTGTAATACCCTTGGAGACTGGATAAAACATAGCTGAGCGTGTGTTAAAACAGACTGATACCTGAGACAAATATTGTCTATCTGAAATGTTTCCTCTGGGTAACAAACTGCTAGTTCTATCGTTGTCTCTGCTATGTGTTATTTTATGTACTGAAGTTTGAATATTTAGTTATTTCAGATTATCTGATTACAATCCATCTCTATAAAACCCAACACTGTTGATTTTTTGGTCTATGAGAAGGACTTCCATGTAGTGTTACACAAAGTACATGGTCTATGAGTTGGACTTCATGAAGTGTAACAAAAAGTTTTTATTTTTGGGAAATAAGAATAACTTGTTCTGGTTGAAAATCTATCAACAATACAAAATATTAAAATGATTCATAAATCTGTTTTCATAATATAATTTGTTTTAATAATTGTTGAACTCAATTTGTAATGTACTTAATACTCATTTGTTTCAGGTCCCGAACTAACAAATGGACAAGCCTGCTAATATATCTGCCTTGTATTTCTTGTACTGAAACGTTCACCGTGTGTTTTTTAGTGTAACCAGTTATTAATGTAATATTGTTTATGGTCACCTTACAATTCTGCAATTCCGGCAATTATTGATGTAAATTATTTATATGAAATGATATTGAGTCGTTTACTATACATTCAATGAGCTATAGTCTTTCTAATGTTATACTGTTTTACTGCTCTTTCTTTGATTAAATAATTAGCATTGACGCATTATTTTTTGTCAACTTTATGTAGTGTAAGCCAAATATAATGTTTTTACATGCAGAATTTATATGGAATGTCCATCCAAATGGTTTGACCTGCAATTTGAATATTGAATTACTTTTAAATGATGGTTTAATTTATTATTCAATATATATACCTTTCAATCATTTAAAGTAGATCTGGTGTCTTCCGCCATCCTGGATTGTAAAAAAGCAGGAAAAAATCGGTCTAGATCTTTTTTGAGAAAAGAATGTAATTCATTTGTAAAACTTTTCAACTAAATGATTTTTTTTAAATATTGTTACGACTGTTTCTTACAAATACAGACTATTTTTTGTATGATTAAATTTTTTTTCAATTTTGCCATTTAAGGGGCGATAACTCAGATAAAGTTACATTTATAAAGGAATGTGTTATGAATCTACCTATATCAAAATAAGGAGATGTGGTATGATTGTAAATGTGACAACTACCCACCAAAATTCAAATGAAGTGGATGCAAGAAATTATAGGCAACTTCTTTGTTTTGTAGCAAGAAAACGAGTCCTGTGATCCCAATTTCCTGAAAGCACATTATAAGAGCTATCTTCACATATTTTATCTTTAAATTCTATGGTTAGGTTTCTTTTTTTCACAAAAAATATGAGTTTTCTTTTTTTCACACAAAATAGGAGTTTTCATGCATAATCAATACAAAATCTGACGAAAATTTGACGATTTTGTCCAATCACTGGAGTAACAAAAAGGAATAGAAAGGACTAAAAAGCACATAACACTATTATGCCGTTAAGTTAAGGCGACAGTAGTTACCTGATGTTCAAATCACGTAAATCGACTAAAACAGACAAATCAAGGCAACACACAAAAACTTGGTGAACAGCACGAACTCCAAAAGGAGCGACATCGGGTATTTGAGAGAGTAGGCGTCTCCTGCTATAACCATCCAGCGCCCGCCATGCGATTTCCCACTCGGTCAAATGTCACAATTGGGAAAAGGACACGGACGACAAAAACACGATCGAGGTTTTCAGCAATGATAATACAGCCACAGTTTTGACGTTAAATTTAATACATATAAAAATAAGATGTGGTTTGATTGCCAATGCGACAACTATTCCTCAGAGACTAAAGGAAGAGGATGTAAACAAAGTGCAGCTTTCACCAATGAACAAAACCTATACCGCATAGTAAACTAAAAAAGGTCCCGTTAACACATAATGTAAAACATGTAATAAAAAAAACACAATGGCTTGATGTATTCAAAATTAAAAACCAACAAAAAAACAAATAGGACAGACAGCATTCATTGATCACAACATAATAACATCGTAAACTGGGACATGCATAAAGAATGTGGCGGAGTTAAACCTGTGTGTGAGAGCTCAACTCTTTTCTAATCTAGTTTATTTGTGTCACAGCATAATAACAACATGTGAATATCGGTTTGAAAGGACACATCAGATCGGTGATAAACTGTCATATTACAGTATCATGTCAAAATTTTCAAAATAGTTTTTTAACTAAACTCTCCATCTTCTTGGATGATGGACTGGATGTCTCCCCAAACTGTTTTCTTTTGCAACTTTTCCGCTCCTCCAGTCTACTCTCTTTCAATCACGTTGTTGCTCTATCTTATCACGGACCTGATCTTCCCAAATGTCATTAAAACTTGAATGAATGGTTCATTACCCTTAAGTTTTTTTTTAATTCACTAATTTCTCTGTTCCTAACAGACAACTTCTTCTCCAATCTAACTATGTAATCAGCTAACCTGTTCATTTCTCTTTAATGATGTATTTTTAATTTTTCTGTACTTTCCAGGTTTTCCTCTGTCTGACATGCTGTTCATTCTATCACTGTTTTATTGTATACTGTAGAGTCCTCATTTATTTCTAGTAAAACGGGAAAATGTGGCTCTGGGTACATATACTTCTCCTCTTTAAGTGTTATGTCACAATGTCTGTTTCCCCTTGTTACATTATTAAAAGCTTTCATGTTTGTTGCTCTAAAGGAAAATATAGTACAAAAATATGGCACCTTCTCTGGTGGAGCATGATTCAATATCACATGGCGAGTGGCTAAATTCTTCGAACCTTCAAATTTACAATTACTCCAATTGCAGTTATAATCAGACATCAAACTGTAAATATATATATAGATATATGTATTTAAGACAGCCAGTTATATACCATAAACATATTAATGTATACACATGCCAGAGTCTGAGCCTTTTTTGCTATATGATATAAAAAAACTAAATAGACGAAAAAAGGTCATTTATTCAAAATCATAAAATGCAAAAAATACATTTTGAAATGAACATTTGACATAAAAGTTCATAATTAATATGAAATTATAATACATAATTAATACGAAATTACATCAACTAAAAATATATCAATTGAATAAATGACAAAGAATAGCAAAGGTGGGGAGAAAAATCTGCCCCACTAATAAACATATATACATATCTACTTCTAAAGATAAAAGTAAGGAAGGTATGCGGGTGGGAATTTTTCACAAATTGTTTTTCCAAACATGTGAAACTAGCTACATATCTTAAAATACTGGCAATTATACATGAAGCGAAAGGATTAGTTACAAAATAATTTATTCCAAACCACTCACCATGACAAAATTAACAAAGTAGCACTAGTTTCATGACGAAGCATAAAACAATACCCACTACATAATAACATATTTGCAAAAGCAAATACACAAAGGTCATAAGTCCAAGCTACCACGACCTCTGCAAAAACAAATATACAGTGGACATAAGTGCA